TATTAAATAATTTTTAAATTTTGTAAGAATTCATTGAATTTATCTATTTAAAAAAGAGTTCTAACAATTGAACTGTTAAAATTTAATATAAATAATGAGTTATTAAGTAAAGTAATTATATCTAAAATAATTTCTTGGCATATGTCACGTTATATTCTAAGTTCAAATACTTAATGATTAAGATTGACTTGTATAACTTTCTTATGGATGACAAAATGAACATGGATCCTATGGACACCCGCAAAAATATCGTTGTGTGGGGTGGATAAATAATCGCTTATATGGGAATGGATACATAGTAAGTATAGACCCACAAAATTTAGTAGGTACGAAATGCAGACACGTATACTATGGTAGCCAACCCGTCTCGCAATTATATATATATATATATATACACTTATTTAATAATAATTTATTATATAAATATATTAATTAATATAATAATTGTTATTATTTCATATCTAAGATACAAGTTAAAATTGTTAGAGCATTTTTTTCTAAGTTTTATGGCAGCTCATCTTCAATTAAAATTAATAATATCAATAAATTATGCTACTCATTGTTTGAAGAGTATCAAACTAGAGCTAAGAGAATAGGAAAAAGTTTAACTTCATAAGCAAATGTCTGTGAGTCAAACTTGGATAATTTAAATATTATTAAATTTTTTACTAATTATGACTCATTTGTTAATGATATAATTGAAATACAAACAAAGTCTAAAATAAAGTTCTACTTAAAAAAACAAGTTTTGTCCAGGAGTGTTACTTTTGACATTCTTTGATGGTAAAAACAAATAAGATTAAGTATCTAACTTTACAAAAAAAAAATTGCTAATGATGTTTTGGTAATCCCAATTTCAACTGTAACTTCAAAATTTACATTTAGCACATAGAAAGATTTTTGAGTCCTTATCGTTATAGGTTCCATGAATTTACTTTAGAAGCACTCATGTCTGCACAAGGTTGGTTTAAACACAAGCAACAAGTTGATAAATAAATAAAATTTATTTATTTAATAAAGGTGATTTTTTTTATCATTGATTTTAATTATTATTTTAAATTATCTAATCATTAAATTTTTTGTCATATAATTTCTATTGGTATTCTAATACCAAAATAATATATAGACTTGAAAGATAAGTATTTGCAAAAATATGGAGAAATCAACTCCAATAATGACATCAAATGTTTACATATTTATTTCTTAAAATTTATAATATATAATTTTATTGTATATTTTTTTTTTCACATGTCTTAGAGAATACTGTTAACACATGATCCTGATGTTGGAAGAATTGAATATTCTATAATATTTATTTACAATAATTATTATGTTAGATTTTTGTAACGTTAAAGATCTCACAAATTAATATTATATTTACTTGTGTGAAATGTTATCTCTTTACTGATTTATTTGTTTTATACATAAATAAAATATAAGTCACGAGTACGTGTTGGATAGTGTATGGATATACGAGTATCCAACAGGTATGAGGATGAAATTAAAATTACTATCTATGTAGGTATGTGTTAGGGGACATGTATTATCAGAACTAAAGGTTTTTTTCCATCTAATGTGAAATTATCATGTTATCATATAGATCAAAATTATTTATTTTATAAAATATGAAGATTAAAAGAGTAATTAAATTAAAATTTATATTAAGTTTTCAAAATTATTTAGTTTCACAATAACATATAAAATTATTTTAACATTAAATAAGTTCTATAAAATGAATGGTAGAATATATTGTTAAGGATTTGAATATTCTGAAATGAGGAAGTACACTCACAATTATTAATTATAAGATAGATGATTATAATTCATATAATATCAAATATTTACAAAATAAAATTTAAAATTAATTATAATATTAATTATTAATTTTTTAATTAATAATTATTATTGTACTTAATTTTTAAAGTATAATTTTTTCATTTTAAACGAATAAGATTCATTATGTCATTATGTAATTGGAGATTTTTGGTTATAATAATAGAAAGAAAAAAAAGTTGATGTTTTATTATTCTAATCTCTGGTGCAATGGCATTTGAGCTTTCTGTACCTGAGAGGGCATACTTATGCATGTTTTATCTTCCAACAAACAAAAGGGATGTGCGCGTGTGAAGTTTTATTATTATTATTGGTTGATTAAAAATATTATCTGTCTCAATATTTATTTAAAAATATTTTAAAATTATTAATATTTTAGAATTAATTAATATTATATTTAATCTTTGAATCTCAAAATTTTAAATTTAAGTCTTAAATTTAATTAATTTTTAATATTTATTATTTAAGAATTTAAGAATAAATTAGTGTAAAAATTATGTACACGAAATGAGAATATTTCCTTTATAATATATAAATAAAAAAGGAAAGCAGGTTTTATAGTGCATTCTATATTTTTGAAAGTAATATTATTATTATGAGCAACTTCTCCAATAATTTTTGTTCTTTATCATTTTCATTATGCATCACTTCCGTTCGATTTATATTTTTGTGTTTTTTAAGAGCACCTATACCTAGACACATCAAATTAATCCGGCAAATAATTTATAATTCACATGACTAAACTGTACCAGGTATTTTGTTACCCCATAATTTTGAATGTTGATAAGAACTCAGAAGTAATTAAAGTTGTGATACTTTTTTCTTTTTTTACTTAAAGATATTTTCAAAAAATAACTAAAACTAACTTTATTTTTTCCAAGGAATCAGCCTGAGTGCATTGGATTTTGTAGGTATTTTTTTTCTTCATATCGAGTTTTGATTTTTATGATTGTGCAAACCTACTTTTTTATATATTTTTTTTAATTTGAGTTTTGCAAAGACAAGTTGTAGCCCATTCTAGTCCAAAAACAAAAGAGTGTGGTACTATGAGGACATGGACAAGTCTCCTCCACTAATTGGTAGGTGTCGAAGCCTCAAAGCGTTTATATCACATCAAACTCATGAGCACCTATCTATTTCCTTCACATAAAATGACAATACAAGCATGTCAATGCTTCTGTTATGTTTGTTTGTATTGGAAAGGAATGCAAGAACAGGATATGGAAACAGGTTAACACAAATTAAATTCATTTTAAAAAACATTGATTAGGTGAACTGAATTGAATTACTTTAAGATTAGTTAACTACATTTTAAAGTTTGAATCAAATTGAATTATGTTTTGAACCAATTTAAACTATTTTTTATTTTTATTTTAAAAGAAATAAGACCCTGTCTCTTTTTCTTTATAATTATAATAAATACAATAAATATTTCTTTTTACACACATTTTATACCTAATTTACTCTTATAACTATTTATGCAATTTATTTAATTATTGAGATTATTCTTGCAATTTTCATATTATGCTTTGATAATTTGTATTTATTTATTTATATTATTTATTTAATGAGTTAATTTATGAGACACTCTTTTTATTAGTTTTATTTTTGTAAATCTTTTGATAAGTTAGCACAACCTAACCAACAACTCACAATGAGTTAAGTTGGATTAAAATTTTGAATTAAATTTTAAAATAAATCCAACCTAACCTAATATGAATTTTTTTTTTCAGTAAAAAAAATATTGAATTGAGTTAATTCATTCTATCATTCTTAGTAGAAAGTAGACAAAGAGACATGATTTAAGAAGTATAGATGGAAAATGAAAACGGTGTTGTAAGGTTGGCTTCAAAAGTGGTAATAAAAGGAGGAAATGGTTGGTGAGTCGTGAGAGATAGGGAACAATGGTTGAATCGTTTGGACAAAAAATGTGCGCTTTACCCACTTATTTTAATTTGCTTAACAGTAATATTGATTTATTCGTGTAATTTGATTTTTGAGATCAAATACAAATGCGTCTGTTGATTAGTATTTTTTTTTCTTCTTTTGATAAATTAGTGTATTTTCTAATTAAAAACAAAAGACTAATCTCAAAGTATTAATTTTTTTCTTCAAGAAATTAACGTTCAAACAAATATTTATAATACAAACTCAGAAATCCAACCCTAATTCATAAATATAAATAAGTGAGATAAATTTATTTTTTTCCTTTCCCACTTTTAACCGTCCAATCAATATGTAATCAATTAAGTAAGATTTTCATAAAATAAAAAAAATTCAAGAACTAGTTAAAAAAAATAGTGCATCTGTTCCTTTATATAAAAAAAATACGAGTATTATTTTGATCATAATTTTTTTTTTTAAAACTCAAGTTTACTTCTAGATGTATTAACTAATAATTTTTTATATCCCTAAGTTATTATAAAATTATTAGTAAGTCATTCACTTATTTTTCATTAAAGTAGATACATTTATTAGATTCCTAACATTATAAATCATATTCTTTGATTAAAAACTTGTTCCTTCATATATATACAGTGTTATTAAATATAATTATCACTTACATCATCTAATTCTAATTCTATAATTGTTTCTAGAATACAATTTCAAATTATGATATTAATTAAAACTCACTATAACTTAACTATTTTAATTAGTCTCAAGAAATTAAGTATTTTTTATAAGAACAAAGGTAGAATAATAATAAGTAAGAAATCAATATTAAGCCTTGATTTTTTTTAAAACAGACTAGTAGAAGTTTGAATAACACCCAAAAATCAATTCTATCTCATAAAATAATGTTAATAACACGAAGAAGAAAGAAAGAAAAAGATGCAATGCAACTATTTTGTCTATAAGTGTATTTGCCCTGTATCTTGTCTAAAAGTAGCCAGAAAAGCATTGTCAACTGTCTTTAATGGTCGTTTAACTGAAAATATCCTCTGTTTCACGGTTGAAACATGGCTGGTGCTCACAACCAGATACCTTTCTGGATTTGTGTTCAAACCATAAGCACAACAGTTGAAGAAATTCAACTAAACCAAATTTATCATGGTAGCAAGTTATCGTGTTCTGTTCATTTTAGAACCAGGGCAGTAAATACTAAATAGTACCGCAGTTAATACCATAAGATTAGTCCTAGTGTTTGCGGATTTTGAACTTCATCATTTTAGTCTTCGAAATTTATCTTCTGATATATTTATCAAACAAGATAAGTACATGTCCAGGAATTTTGGAATTCATATTAATGACTAATGACAGTAACTAAAAAGCAAAACCTGCTAGCCAAGATACTAAGGTTGAAAAAACGAAATGCATAAAATATGTGTTCCCAAACCCACGTTCCAGCATCTCAAAAGTGGAACCTATCAGTGACTATAAAATAGTGTTCTCCACTGGGGAAGCTACAAAGTTTTTCAACCAAAGTTCTGAACTACAAAGTGAGTTAAAGGTTTCATCACAAGTCACTTGCCCCAAACTCAACTTCGACAAAATCCATTTGTTCCAAATTGAATCAGTCTTTCTGTTGAGTCCAGATCTTCACGGTTTTGTCATTGCCAAGTGCACCAGAGGCAATCATGTTCTCTGTAGGATGACATGACACAGAAACAACAGTATCAGAATGTCCTTCTAATTTCTGTACTATTTTCCTTGACTGCAGTTCCCACAAGTATATACAATTATCTTCTGAACCGCCAACAACGTACTTCCCATTTGTTATAGAAAATGTGGATGAAATGCAATATTTTGAATTAACATGACCGGTGTAAGTCTTTAGAAACTTCCCAGTTGAATAGTTCCAAAGCCTCTGCAGGGAAAGAAAAATTCCCATGTAAGATAAAAAGAAATGGAAAACTTAAGACACTGAATGATGAAGCATGAAAAAGAAAAAGAGGGGAGGGGGGGGGGGG